AATATGGTTCATGGGGTCACGAAGAGTTGGACATGACTTAACGACTAAACAACAACAAAGACTAAATATGCTCAGGCAGAAGGGCTCTGCCAGAAGGCAAGTAGCATTCAGCATTCTTTACCCATGACCTATTCTGTTATTTACATTGGACTCTCTTCTTCTGTATATTTACTGGGGGAAATCTCAATTTTAAATCCATGGAACTGCCCCATTGCATCAACTCTGATTTTTTACTCCAGTCAAGGAGGTTAGCATAACAATCAAGATGGAGATGTTCCTTTTTGGCTTCCCATCCCAGGAGGAGAACGAAGAAGGTTCCACCCAAATAACACCACACTCTGCCCTGAAAATTGTATAAACAACTCACTGGCTATCCCAAAAGGGTAATCATTTGTTAGTTATGTCATTCATTATGGTAAGGAAAGCAGGAAAGGTTCTTGCGACATTGTCTGCTTTGGGTGGCCAAAATAACCTAAGTGGCCAAGGGATGATGCACTTAAACTTTTTTTTCAAGGGGAAGGGCATTGGCTGCTTTGTCTCACAGAGGAAAGCATCCTGTCATGGCCCTGATTCTGATCCAAAGTTTAGCATTCCCTTCCTTATCCTCGTGTCCTTGAGAAATTCTGGATGTCAAGTCCCAAATGACAATGCTGACAAGGGATGATGGGAGCTGAGGTCAGTCACATTTGGGGTACAACATATCTGGGAGGACTAACTTAGCATGATCAGATCAAGCTGTAGACCATTCTGGATTTGGACCCTTCCCTTCCTCTTCTGGAGTGCCTACATAAGGCCAACTATGATTTAGCACAAGGGTGATAATTTGTGGCCCTCTAGATTTTGAGCTACAACTCACCATGGATCATCATAGTCAGGACTGACAAAGAGTTGAACAACATGTGCTCCCTATTCTAAGCTTATTTGTAATATGATGTTCAATCATATGTTATAGGGTACAACCTGATCTTGCCTTCTTTCTAATTAAAATAAGAAACTGTGGAGAAAGGAAAAGGATACAGGCAGTCCCCGGGTTAAGAATGTCCGAGTTACAGACAACTCATACTTATGAATGGGCTGCTTGTTACCAAAAATGGTGGATGGTGTTCTCCTTTCTGGAGCTGATGAACTGCTGAAGCCATGTGATGTTTTCATGAACTGCTGAAGCCATGTGTTTTTAATATACAGCCTGTTTTCAACGGTTCATGAAAACATTGCATGGCTTCAGCAGTTCATCAGCTCCAGGAAGGAGAATTCCATCCACCATTTTTAGTAACAGGCAACCCGTTCGTAAGTACGAGTTCCGACTTACATACAAATTTGGGTTAAAGACAGGCTTAGGAATGGAACTCATTCTTAACCCGTATAACTAAGAACTGAATGGTCTTAGAACTTAGTTTTATTTTTTTTTAATATGATTTATATGGTTGCCCATGTCACACAGATGACTCTGGGTGGAGTACAAGTATTAAAAGCATGAAAACCACAATATACAACCCCTGGTGCTTAAATATAAAACAATGACTCCACTCAAATGTATCAACAGCGGCAGAGCTCACCTAGCATCTTGACCCAAACACCTGGGGAAACAGACAGATCTCCAGTGCCTCATGAAAGGCTAATAGGATTGGGGCCATCCAAATCTCCAGGAGGATGCTGTTCCACAGGGCAGGTGCTGCCACTGAGAAGGCATGACTCTGGGGTCCAACGAGATTACATTGTTTGATAGAAGGGACCCGGAGCATGCCTTCTGCACTGGATCTGGAGGGCTGAACAGAAACGATGGGAGAAAGGCAGTTCCACAAATTACCTGGCCCTATGCCACTGAGGGCTTTATAGATGATAACCAGCACCTTGAATCACACCTGGAAACCTCCTGGGAGCCAGTACAGCTTGCAGAGCAGTGGTGTTACATGGGCATAATGAGAAACACCAAAAACTATCTGGGCCGCTGCATTCTTGGAAATTAGCAACAACCTCTGGCAGCTCACTTTGCCCTTCAGAGGAAGAGCTGTCCCTTAGGAGAACAGCACTTGTTTTATATAAAAAAGGTGGGCTATAAAGATTCCCATCTGAGATTGTGAAATATGATTGCGAATCAGTGAACACTAAGTGCCCCAGCCTTTTTATGGCAGGGCAACACATCTGGAATTTTGAGAGCATGCAATGAACTGCCATGGGGGACCTTGCCCATTCATCATGTGGCTACCATGGGCATGACACAAAATAATCACAAGTGATGTGACAGAGAGATGCAGAGGTGAAGATGATATGTTTCTGAGTATGTTGGGGCCCACAGGGATCATGTTGGGATTCCAGGTGGGTGTAATACTAAGATAAACAAGAGTTAAGCAGTTTCCTATATTCCTAAGTGATAAGAAATTAGATGATAATGAGCCTATTCTAAAAAATACTTACTGAGTCAATAGGCACACGTACACATAACTATTGATTTATGTGACCTTTTCCATCTGAAGCACCTTGGGAAAATATAACAGATTTGAAAATAAAGATTAGTTAATTGTGCAATATAATTTAACAATATATCCACAGCAATTCAGTTTAAGGAATTGCAACAATGGAAACAGCTGGGCCAAATAACTTTTAGGGAGGAGACACAGCATCAAAACTAATCCTACTCAAAGCTTTGCAAATGCCTTCCCACTTAGCATAATTACTGATGTTCTATTAGCCACATGTAATAGGCTATAGGAAAGAATTCAGTGCACATAATGTTTGGAATGTCAGAACACTGCAAGAATCCAGATTTGCTATTCTGAAAAGCAATCACAGAGCTTCATTTTTCTTTTACAACTTTTCCCTTTTGCCTCAATGAGATGGATGTTGGGAGATGGGAAGCTGTGCCCATCTTTTAAAATGCTTCCTTTTCAAAAAAGAAAAAAAAGATGGTAGTTGGTCCTAGGCAGTCATATCTGAAGTCACAAAAGCACACTGGAGATTATTACTGTAATTAGGACTTCGCTGTGATATAAGTACTCATTAACTGGCTTTCTTTAATACAAACAATTGAAGTTAGAAATTACTTTTTAACGTAGGTAGGAAAATAGGGTGAGGATACAGTACCGTTACTGCCTGTGGAAAACATTTATTGTGTTACCAAGGTTTTTCGAGCGTACATGGAGGTTGAGCTTGATTCCTGATGACTTGATGTGTAGATGTTTGTGCGATGTTGTTTGTCACTCCCTTCTTTTGGGGTTTCATTCAACTTTTTAGTCTAGCCCTCAAACTGCAGTGTTCCCTGGATTAATATTTTAGAATAGCTGATTACAAATGACACTGGGGAGAGCAGGAGTATTCAGTATGCAATGGGAGAAACAATATATCATGTCATTGTCACTTTCTTTAAGAAGATTGTACCTTAAAACCACTCCCCCACCCCCACCCTGTTTCTTTGCTTCTGGTACGCCATGGCCTGGCATGGTCCCAGGCAGATTTGGGAAGGGAAAGCTTTGCTAAATTAATAGTTCTTCTTTTTGGAAAGAAGAATGACTAGATGGTCTTGGCAATGTACGTGCAACATCTACCTTCCAGGAATGGAACGTACTGGAGTACTGGCATGTTCTCTTTTTCCTCCCAACCAATGAAGATCTGGGGAAGGTCCAGCAATTTTTCAGAAATTAATCTTCTGGACTGGAAGTGAATTATCCCTGGAATGGCCAGATCAACTTGTTCTTCTAGCTCACTGGCTGGCTGGGGAATTCTGGGAGTTGAAGTCCACTCATCTTAAAGTGGCCAAGTTTGGACAACACTGTTCTAGCTCTTTCAACTCTGCATACATTATAAATCCATGTCCGGCAAGGAAGAATGTTGCACAATACTGGTGGATTTTAACCGCTTTAATGGTTTGTTTACAGTTCTTTGGAAAAAAAACAAGTTTTGCCAGTTTTGGATGGTTTTATTTTAAAATTAGTTTTATTAAATGAATGCTGTATCTGCAGCTGCATAAAATGAGAGCTGCACCAACTAAGAATTTAGTTGTCTAAAGTTACTTTGTTTATTTTCAATGAATAGCAGCCAGAGGAGGCTGGAAACTCGAACTAAACTGGTGAAAAGTAGTCCTTTCTCTTCTTAAGAAGCACACTCACACACTCTATTTTCTTCATGCAAGGGAAAAGTTATCCAATGAAAAATGCAAGACTATACAATCTGTGGCTGTTCATTGTTTTAAAAAAGTTGGTCCAAACTTTCACCTAGAATTTGCCTCAAGGCAGCCTCTTCAGCATTGCGAGAAAGACTGGAGGAGTCAAGGAGCATCTATTTCAGATTTCGTGATGCAGGGAGCTAGAAGCAGGCAACTTTCAGAGGGAAGCAACATCCTCAGAGAGATTTGACAGGGTAATGCTGGATATGTACATGTTTAACTTGCAGTTGAAAACACAATAAACATTCCAGATTATTTTAATAGCATATGCCACTTCTTCAAGCCTATGTTGCAAGGGATAAATGAATGATATCATTAAATGATATCACCCGATCACACAGAGAGGGCATGCTTCGGACCCCCTCAGTAAAAGAACTCTGATTAGCGGGGTCTAGAAGGTGGGCCTTCTCTCGGTGGCCCCGCTCTTTGGAACATTCTGCCCCCGGAGGTGCGG